CTGTAGAAATTAAAAATTGCAATGAAATATATCGAATCAATTCATCTCAGTTTAATTTCAATAGGATTAATTTACATGCAAGATGCATGCAGAAATTGATAACTTTCTAACAAAAATCAACCGTTTGGTGATAAGTTGTTGCGGAGATAATGATGGGATAAATTTCAAAAAAAAAAAGAAAATTTTAATGTTTTGCTTGTAGCAAATGAAGATTGAATGTAAGAAAATCAGAACATGCTTGGCCGCAACGATTACATTTGAATGGATTCTCATATCCGTGATATCCCATATGAATATGATATAATGGCTCATCTTGGAATGCCATTTTGCAATGTCCGCATGAAAAACGCCACATCTCTAAGATATGTAACTTACGCTGAAAGAAAAATAAATGATAGAGGGAACAAACTTTTATAAACTTATTTTACAATTACAAAAGTAGTTTTTAACAATTTTACATATCTGATGAAGAAGGAAAGTTGAAATGTATTCATTTTAAAGATTATCAAAATTAGTTTAAAAAAACAAACCTCCATTTCTTGCATATGAGCGATACATGCTTGTTGGAAAATATTTAAATTGCTTAAATTAATTAGATCATTATGCATTCCTAGAGGTGGTACTATTTGTGGTTGTGGTGCTAGCGGTGTTGTTGATGGTAACGATGATATTGATGGCGCTTCTTGTGATTCTAAAGTTATGCCTAAGGAAGTTCCACTCATTTCATTCATTGGATTTTCCTTTATTCCTGATAATAGCAAGCCCTGCAATTGCTGTATTACTAATTGTAAAAAATATTTTGAAATAAGAACTTCATGCCAAAAAACGAAGAATTTTTTTTAATAATGAAAAGATGACTACAATGTCAAAAACTAAGAAAGAACAAAACGAATAATTTAGATAATTAAAAATCTCACTTCATACTTAGAGTCATTCAGGCTATCACTGGAGCCGGGGTTTTCAGGTGAATTTTTCTCCTGAAGTCGTGCAGCAATTTGGTTTAGCTTCAGACCAGCTTTTCGCTTTTTTGCACCTTTATCGCTTTCTTGTTCAATGCCAGATGAACCCTCATCAATGCTGCTTTTTCCGGAACTCGGTGAATCTTGTGATTCACCTGAAATGAAGCTTTTGTATTTGACCACTCTTCGACATTAACATCTCAAATTTTAGCTAAAACGAGCAAATCTGTTTCGAGAAATCGGATTATTTAAGGCGATCTAGTAATTTTATAATATTTCCCTTATTTGACCTAAATAAATTCAAACACTTCATGTCTAAAAAAAAATTTGAGTTGTCGAAAAATTTATTATTTTAAATTTATAAATTTATTATTGCTAGGCTAAATCATTAGAAAATATGTGAAGACTATTTCTTACGTGATGGTTGCACACTGAACATGGTTGTTCATTAACTATTTGTTAAAATTTCTGTTTAAAGTATTTATTGGTCATGTTAATGATAATTTGAATCGTAGAGCTTTAGCCATTCGATGATATCAGAATCTTGCTTGAAATTCCCGATGAAAAATTTCGCCTCACCACTTTACGGTACCTCAATTAAATTTTGTGCGAGCAATAAAATAGCGTACCGGAAATATCACTCATAATATGATCTTCCGAATCGTCTATGCTAGGTTTTTCATCAACTTCAGCACCACCGATAAAATCATCCACATCCACTTTTGACGCTTCCATTTCCATTTCTTCATCTTGCTGTTCCATTTGTTCGTTCAGATTACTATTTGATTCGCTATAATTCGTGTGAAATATAAACAAGAAAAAATCTTAAATGAATTGCTACTAAATCAAACCTATTATTTCGGACAAGAATAGAATTATGAGATATTTTTTTTTTAATGAATAATAACATATCTAAACCAAAAAATACAGGTAGGACCAACTATGAAGGTAAGTAATCAGAATCCTGGGCTAGTGAATTTAGAAGAAATGGCTCCATTTTAGAATAAGATCAAAAATAATCCGCAAGATACATTTCTAAAATATTTAAAATGGCCCAAAGGATACGAACAATGATGCTTCGCTGGGTACATCACCAGCTGTTTGTGGCATGCCAAATATATTATACAGCGGAATAAGCGGATTTTCGCCATTTGGACCAATCAGATGGCCCAGTTGATGTCGTAAACTATCGCTCTGATTGATCGCTTGATAACTACATGCTGGACATTGCAAAGATATGCCAAGTATAGCACCTGGATTCATTCCAGCCATATTTTTCAACCGAAGCAATAATTCCATTTCTTCCATCTGCAAGCAGAACGACCCTTTTGTTTATTATCTGTCCAGATTAATTAATCATACCATTCCGTATATCGCTCTAACAGCGCCATTTAATTTTACTTTTTTCAACTATTGACTTTATTATGCTCATAAATTTCACTCATACCTACATTCACATTATTCAAAATTTCTATTGGTGTTTTATGAAAAAAATTTTATCATTCAGAAAACAGTTAAAAGATTATATTTGATTTAATAACCAATATACATGAAACATTTACGCAGAATATTTGAAAAGTAAATGATGAAGAAGCAAAAACCTGATGTTGTTGACGGAAAAGTAGATGTGAAGCTATATTTAGAGAATTGCTGGTGACAACTGGTGTCATGCCCAGTGCAGCACTTAACTCTTGCGCCATAGTTGATGTTGTTGGTAATGGTTCCGGTGAAGAACCATCACCGGACTGTACAACAAGAGATTCGCTACGACGTCGCATTGTCGTATCATCACTTTCCGTAACTGCTTGCGCTGAGCCTTAGCAAATTAATTTCATGTATTATGTGTTACATTATTTAAATCTTCTAAATTACTACAGAAAACTTCAGTGAACTTAGAAAAATAAAATTTTAGCAAATTAGTTCCTACATTAATATGTTTCATCATTTTAAACTTGTAAATAATGAAAGAGAAAAATATGACAAAATTATTTACCATTGCAAAGATTACTAGTGCCAGCGGTAGCACTGACAGCAATGCTTACAGCTGAATCAGTGACATCAGTAGCTCGATTATGATTGTACTTCCTCAGGTGTAATTTCAAGCTGTGACAATATTTTGTAGCATAAGTACAGTCACGACAACGAAATTGGTAAATATTTGTATGTGATTTCATATGTGAATTAAGCATCGATTTGTTGACACAGGAATAAGCGCACTTCTTACAGTGGAATGGTTTAGATCCCATATGATTTCGTAAATGATATTCCTGAAATATGATGAATTCCTTTTAAGAACAGCTTGTGTTTCTAATTTTATATTTAGTAGAAAAATTTGTTCAAATAAGTTTTTTTTTCTTTTTTCGAATGGGAGGATAACGATTTCTTTTCTACAGAACAATTCAATTGCAATTATTTATGCATTTATGATCATATATATCTACGAAACAACCACAAGCCATATATATTCTAAACTGAATATATATATCTAACTGGATTTCAATTATTTAAATTCACTATTAAAAAAACCGCATTAATTGCACTTTCGAAGTAAAAAAGAAAAAAAATATCAGTGAACTGAAAATAATACCAAATGATGCTTGTATTCGGTGACAAAACCGCATCGTGTACAGCCAAGTTGCTTCTCGACGGGTATATGAGTTCGGGCATGGGCCCATTGCTCTTCCTTGGAAGTACTGATATGACAACATTGTTTGCATTTGTAAGTTTTTGGTTTACTCGAACATTGCCTTGGTTTATCACCGTTCACCGGACTGACTGATCGTTCGTCGCTATTTATCGATTTCATACTTTCGTGGAATGCTTGTGAACTAAGAAGACCCTGTGAAATCAATGCTGTTGCTAAATTTGCTGATGATAAATCCGGTAGCACACTTGGATTTTCTGTAAATGCACGAATTTGATCCAATGCTGATGGCATCAATCCGCTTATAGATTGTACAGCACTGGAAAGTGATGATGATGAAATAACATCGCTGGACGGCGGAGTTCCCGAACCGGATGGCAAACTGAGACCACTACTGGAATCACTTGGTACTGATGTGGCTGGATCACTGCTTGAGTTTGATGAACAGCTAGCAACAGCGGCTTGTGCCGCAGCTTGCGCAGCTGCTGCCAAATTAGCTGCCTCCAAGACCGAAGCCATTGAGGTAGAAAAATTACTACCATCAACTGGCGTTGTTGTAATACATGCCACAGGTGTACTGGATGTCGAAGTACTGCTAGTTAACGCTTGCTCCACGTCGAGACCTGCAGCAAGTTGTTCCTCAACGGTATGTGAATCACGCATATGTTTCTTTAAACGTCCTTCCGTGCGTGACGTATAATCACACATCGTGCATTGATGATCACCATGGGTGTTCATATGAGAATTGTAGTGAAATTTGGAATTGCATGAGAAGCCACAGATGTTACAGACAAGCGGAAGTGAAGTGCCAGATTGCTGCGTTTCTGTTGTGTTCACCGGACCTAGGCCAGGAGCACGGCAAAATGTTGACGAACCAGGCGCACTCGAAACGGATTCGGATCTTGGACTTGGTGCTGTAGATACTGTTTGCGGTACAAAACGATGACATGGACTAAGAGTGTTGGCAGCGGAACCTGAGGATGTTGCTGTTGAGGATGTTGTGGAAGGGGTTAATTTTTCGTTTAGGATACGTTCTTCAATGCGCATTGCTGTAAATCGAGTTTGCTCAAAAGGTGTTCCCGTATGTGCTCTGTGTATTTCGGGAGACTCCATATTATTCATCAGAAGTCTAAAATGCTTTTAGTAAAACTCATCTCGATTGTAACCTTTTCGGGAAATTTTCACAAATATTAGAATTTTACAAGAAAAGTTTAGAAAAAAGCTTCAAAACAATACAAAAATTTACACTTCAGGTTGAATCAAAGATTACGGTAATACCTGGTGTCACTATCATCAACTAATCTGTTTCCGGCATCATCATCTACTATCGGTTTTTCAACCGTTTCATCGTCATCACTTTCTTTATGCTCAACATCTATTCCAACCTCGCCATTCACTGAAAAGTGAAATTACATACCAAATATTTATTCCGCTTCACTAGCTATCAACAGCAAGACACGTATACTGATAAAGTACACTTAAAGAATAGACGAAAAAATATTCCGGGATTCCGAATCAAGCAAATCTTAAAAATTTTGAGGACTCAAGACTCATTTTATATATATCCATTTATTTTTCTAAAAAATTTTCTGCAAATTATTGCATAACGAAATTTTCTGCATAACGACTTCACTTTATTTGCATTTATAAATAAATATCGCTCGTTGTGCGGTACAAATGAAAAAAATAAAAAAAAGCGAAGTACAGAATATCTGTATGTAAACTGTACTAGATTGAATGAAATTAAAACATTGTCTGATTGTTAAAGACCCCGATTATTCAATGTTGAACATTTACAGTAGCACAAAATCATCCTACGTCACATTTTGAATCATTAAACCGTTCTCCATTCTGTTGGTTGAGCTAGCTTTATATTCAATTGGAAAACTCAAATTCACCGAAATCTAAAATAGACTTCATTCGTGGTTGTTCATCGGGATTATTCATTTTTTCATCAAATTCATCATTATCCGCATGAATCACTGCACCCACAGTTGCATATGTCGATATGCCAATAATTTCATTGCTGCTTCCGGTTGTTAATAACAGTTGTCCTTTTATTTCGCCTCTTTCGTCAGATACTTTGCTAACCGGATAGGCCCCACTTGTTTTATCAGTTTTATTATAATCATCGGTCATTTCGATATCACTGATGACAAGCTTTGATTCGGTGTTGTCTTCTCTATTGTGGTAATCCCTTTCCACAGACGTGATATGATTCCGCGGTAACGATGTCACAAACGGAGTTGATGGTGATGATGATGATGATGGTACAGTGAAACCTGGTGTATGATCACAATCTCGAGTTACCGTTGTTATTGCAGTAGTACCACGATCCGTATTTCGATCCAAGAAGTACTGCTGACGTTGTGGTTGCCGGAAAGCACTGCAACCATCGTCAGCATGTACCATAGAATGAGGTGATAAAAGAGTATGATGTTGTGGTACTGTAGCAGCTTTGGAATCTGATAATGATTGCTGTTCATTTTGACACTTCAATCGTAAATCACCATTTTGTACAAGCTGCTGATAATCGGAATTCAGGAATGCAGTTTGCTGCAATTGTTGTTGTTGCTCTTGAGCATCCTGTTGAAGTGCTGTAATTTGTTGTTGTACAAGTGTTTCAGATATGAGATTTCCAGTGGTTGAATGATTGGTTAAAATTATCGGAGGCTGATTTTGGTTTGCCTTATTTGCCAGCTGTTGTTGTTGTTGCTGCTGCTGCTCCTGTAATGAAGCCGTTGTAGCACAGCTTTGTTGCAGCCAAAGTTGCGCTGCAACGGCTGCATTAGCGGTACCATTTACGGAAGATACCTTATTGCTGTTTAATTGTTGTTGCAATTTTTGAAGAAGTTGCTGTTTCCTGGTTTCCAGCAGTTTCGCTTCTTCTACAGCTGCAGCAGCTATGTAAATTTGTTCAGGTATTACTGCGTGTGATACTTGACCGCTGCTAATAGTCGAACTCAGATGAACTAACAATTTCTGCGTCGTTTCACTCTGATGCTGTTGCTGTTGCAGTGGATCCTGTATATCTGGAGAATCCCCTCCATCTGAACTTAATAGCTCAGAAGACTTCGATGATATCAATCGAGTAGGCAGCAATGAACTACCACTTGATGGTTCCTGTTGTTGTTGTTGTTGTTGGACGAAACTATCATAAGGCATGATGGACGATAGGCTTACACCAGCCGTTCCCGTAGCGTTCTTGTCGTGCTGCATTGGACGAAAGCCACGTGTATTATCGGTATAATTCTGGAAAGGAATTTCGTTAAACAGGAAGACAACATAGTAAGTTGGGTTGTTGAGTGATGAAGACAAAAGATTGATGAGAAAACAAATGATATCACTTACAATTAATTTAATTCATTGGGTGCACTATTTGACAATAACAGCAAATTTTTAAATTAAATGGAAAATTATATCATATTTGGAAAATAAAACACATAGCTGTTAGATTAATAAGAACATGAAAAAAATTCCCTTTCTCTTATCACAATTATCTTTGCGCTTTCTTTCATATATTGATTTAAATGAAAAAGTTTCAGAAAAAAATTCCTGATAAGCAGTAAAAAAACTGAATGGAAAAAAGAAAAAGAGCAAGTTAAGAGAGTAAAGAGATAGAGAAGAGAAAAAACAAGGAAAGTTTTCGGTATTTTATAGTCAACAATAAAATTTGAAAAAATAATAGTATCACCATTATGTGTTTGACTGTATTATATGAATATATATATATATATATATATATTCAATTATGCAATCATTTGATATGCGTGAATGATTCCTCTATAATGTTTCAACTTTTTTTCTTCTCTTTTTAGTTTATTTTTTTCTTTTTTAAATTGGAATCTCGATTTTCTATTTTTTTTAATTTTTAAAAATTTTCTTTCTTCACATATATATATTTTACAGTTAAATGATATATATGCTGCGAATTTTATTGTTTATTGTTTATAAAATTCTACAGCCATTATTATATATATAAATTATCTTACGACCATATATTTAGGCGTTTCGCACGATTTAAGAATTACAAAAAATTATTTTTCTTACTAAATTGACCCATTTGTTCTACTATCATGAATAAGTTAATGGCAGTATAATATAATTAAATTCATATCTGGAATTCACTAGCTTCATCAGTGGAAATGTATGATTTGAAATAACCGGATATTTTCCGATAATCCATATTTGAATGGCGAAAATAGCGAAAATGCAGATATAAAAAAAATGTACATTGCTTAGTTGAAAAGTGTTCTTCGATGGATGAATATAACTTACCTTGATATTTACCTTATTTTTCATTTTAATCCCATAATGTATAATGACAATATTCAGCAAATTATAAGAAGAACAAGGTTGTGAATAATTTCATCCTCCTTATCATTTATTATCATTTAATTCAGGATCGTGATTTAATCAGAAGATCAATCATTTGGATGGCAGGAAAAGTAAAAAGATTGGAAACTGATACCTTGTTGAAGACGTTGCTCCTTTGCAGTGACCATCCGTTTGATTCTTTCTTAATTCTTCATAAGTCATTAAATTATATGGTGGTACTTGTCCTCCTGGATTTTTTTCGGCGAAATTTTAGTTTTTTCCTTTGAAATTTCTTCACTACTTTTGCTTACCACTGCTGTTATACAGGGTAATTTTGAGGATGTTACCAGGAGAATCGGTGAAAACGTATCACCCGCATAGTTTGACTACCATCCAACACCTGTAAACATTGATATTGGTAAAATATATTCCATAATATACTACAATTTTTTCATTTTAGATTAACTGTAATGACGAATTGGATTTAAAAAGGAACAAGTTTAATGTCCAGTAAGTAATGAAATAATTACTGAAGATATTTGCCCAAAATGTGAAGTCATCCGAATGTTGAATATTCGGTAAATTTCTTCGAAAATAAAAAACCGTAAAGTAAATATAAAATTACGAGGTAATTTTACCAAAATGATTGTAAAATATATTTTCGTTTTTAAAATAAGATATTTTGGGGTCCATTTCACTGTTGCAGAAATTAGAAATGTTAGGAATATGCAAAACTTCGTTATAAAGTGATAAAAAATCAATAGAACAAAAAGATAAAAACCAATCATCCTCACTAATACAATGTATAATTCTTTTTTTAATTTATTTTATAGATCTTTATATGTAAGCTTGTTTATTTGTTTATTTATTTCCATGTCTATGCAAATCGGGTCGTTCACGGAAAAATATCAGCTCCATATCATTTTGTCTGTTTTCCGGTTGTTGTCCACATAGACACTAACACCACATATATATATACACACACTCATAAATCACAAGTTGTTGCTGTGGATGTTGCAGGCATTTTGTATGCAAGAGCTGTCCTCAAAATGGCTGCCACTTTTACTGCAACAGCAGTAGCAGTAGTAACGACAGCGACAGCGACAGCGGCAGCAGCAGCATTAGCACTAGCAGTTGGAGTAGCAGTAGCAGTAGCAATAGCGATAGTATTTGTATTTGTATTACTGCTACTACTACTACCAGTACTATGTCATTATTATAACGCATTAAATACTCTCTTCTTCCCTTTCCCTCTCTCTCTCCGTCCTCGCTTTCTCTATTTCAGAATATATCTTTCTTCCTCTCTCCTCCTCTCTCTCTCTTTCTCTCCATTTCAGAACACATGAAAGAAATCGGAAAACGACAAAGCTAAAAACGAAAAATAAGGAAAATAAGAGATGAAGGAAAAATGGCCTCTGTACACAAGCATAAACATGCGGAATTATATTATTATGTATAAGAGCAGGAGGGATGATCGCCTAAGGCATTTTTAGAAGCTATCACTACTACTACTACTACTACTACTACTACTACTACTACTACTACTACACTACTACTACTACTACTGCTGCTAATATCAGTACTGCATTTTCTCCCCAGGTAATAGTAGGAAGTGGTTACTCCATATATTTTCCAAATAAAATGCACACGGATGAGTTGCTGATTTTGTTTGATGGAAGAAAACTGGATATCCGTAAACAAGAACAACTTAGTTATTGGAGAAGAGAAGAGAGTGATGATATTGCCAAAGAAAAAATACGAATTCATATTTAGATTAACAAATTATTGAGGGTCAGTATAAAAGGGAAATTTAAAATTCATTCAAATTCATAATTTATTTCTAAACTATTATTTGGTGAAAAAATAAGATATTTTTTCCTAAAATTTCCTTAGAGAATTGTAGGGAGGAATATCTTTCTTTTAATTTAAAATAAATTTCATGACTTATGGTTAAAATGAAATGATAATGAGAAAATATTGAAATACATAGAAAGTTTCAAAAAAAATGACCATTGTCCATACTCCCCTTTCAAATCTGTAAAATTTATTTTCGGGAATTGGAAATTTCCCATCCGGTTAGTTACCCATTTATTTAAAAGATTGTAATCGTGACTATTTAAGTCCAATGCTAGGTACAGGAGGCAATCTTGCATTGTTCCCATTCCACTTAAACAGTATTAGTTTCGTAACGATACCGGAATTGACCAATAAAAAAACTGGAAACATGCTAGAAGATTAGAAAAAAAGAGCCTTGATTGAGCCACGAAGACTTTTTTCATTTGAAAAATAATTTCCGTATGACTTACTGATGTATGGCATGAATAGAGGTTTAATCGTTGGGGCTTAGGATTATAGCTATCAAAGCACTGTCATTTAATCCACTTATTGGTTAAGGTGAAAACGATTAATAATATAAAATTTATTTAGCCTGAAAGTTTCATAAGATTTCACGAGTTTCTAAAATTGAATTGATAATCGTAATAATAATAATGAGAGGACGAATTAGATTCGCTGTGATAATTTATTTAAATATTGAAAATTTCTGAAATGATTCATCTACCCGGAAGTTTTCCATTTCCCATTTCGGCATAACACTATTATAAAATAATTCCTATAAATGGACAAGAGAATGATCATTAACAATACAAGAAAAACTGGTTGGAAATGAAGAGATGCGCAAAAATGCAGCCTGAACGATGTTGCAGAATAATTTTACTCCCATAAAAACAATTCGTATATAGAAGCAAATCTTCCCTTTTTCCTGTTCCTTTCTTTACCTGTTTCCCGTCCCTTTTCTCCTCTTTTCAATCCCTATCGTTTAATATTCTTTCACCTCGGAATTCCCTCTCAATCTTCTTTTTCAACATTCAAATGGGGAAAGAGGGATGAGAAAGTTCAAAATATCACTTTAAATAAATGAAAACAACAATTTGTAAACTGCGGAAATAATCTGTTATGATGACCGGTTATATTGGAAAATTTGATGCATAATACCAACAGCTGAAGAAAAATGCTGCTGGCAGGCTGGTTTTGATTGGATGCAGAGGAGATACGAGGGATAGTAGTAGGTCGATGAGAGACGGGGCGGAAAAAGGAAGAGGAGAGGACAGGATTAGGATGTTGGCTGGTTGCATCTGAATGGCTGAATGGATCTCCTGGATTGTTGGATCGCTGTATGGATGTATAGATGGATGACTGGCTGCGTCCTTTGCCAGAAGTGCCCAACGAAGATATTATTTTGCTTTTTCGAAAGAATGATCATTTCTCGATTGGAACCTTTTCATCCTTCTCTTCCCTTACACAATAATACATTCTCATCTTAACATTATTTTCATTTCATCGTTGTTAAGAAATTTCTCAGCTGACAAGCAGACAAACATACGAATGTGTGTGTGTGTGTGATGTGTATGTATGTGTGTGTATGTTTGTGCGTGTGTATGTGTGTATTTATATATATATTTGTATATATATATATATATATATATATATAGATAGATATATATATATATATATTTGTATATATATTTGTATACATATATATGTATATATATATGAGTGCAGCATTGAAGAATAATGTATTTTTGAACTGATTGATACTGCGTCTAAGCAAAGGAATGGATAAACTTTCCTATCTCTTAACCAATGGCAATTATGCCAACTTATCATTACCATTACCGTTGCTATTCTTATTATCATTATTATTATTATTGTTATTATTGTTATTAGCAGTAATAATAATATTGTTAATTGTTATTATTATTACTATCAATATTTATTACTTCTATTGTTATTGTTACTATTAGTACTAATGGCAGTACAATCGTTTTAGCAAATAATATGTATCGTTATTTGTTAATTATTTAAAGCAATTAAATTTCTTTTTCCGTTCATTCTGTCAATAACCAATTTGTTACAATCATTTCCATCCTTATCACTATATATATATATATAGAGAGAGAGAGGGAAGGAGGGAGGGAAAAAAGAGAAAGAGGCACATGCAAGTAAGGGAATAACATATATACACATACATATGCATAAAATATTTTGTTTTCGAAAATGACCCTACAGATGGAAGTAGAAATAAAGAATAGAGGAAATGAAAGTAAAATATTTCGTTGGGATAAAAGCAACAGACTAACAGAGAGAGATGAATGTTGTTTACGGGAAAAGAATAGATGAAATTATGATAGTGATGTGCTATATATGATGATTGTGATTGCGATTGTTTAGTTTTGATTTTGCATCCGTAAGACAACAGACCGAACGACGACGATCCCATGACAAAACATGCGATTGAAAATAATTGTTGGTGCATTATACGGTTAGAGTTATTTTACTAACAAATATAAACTTTCAGAGAAGACTATGAAGGCGTAGAAAATTTGCTGACTTATTAACAACAATTAATTCAATTGTAAAACAACCCTAATTAACATTCGAATTATTTGATTACGATAGTGCATATATATTGGGTAGATATTTTCGGTTTTGTTGCTACAAAAAAAAAAATTAACCTCATTATGCTCCTTTGCAATTTATAGACTTGGCTAATCAATTAATTGAATATGTATGGGCTGATATTTGCAATGCTATAAGAATAATTTGTTTACTAATTAAAGGAAAGAAATAATCGAGGAAATTTTTGACATATCTTCCGTCATATGATATGTTAATATTAATGAACATTTTCCCATATCCATAAAATGCATTTTACGCGGGTATATGTGTAAAATTATTTCTACGTGTAAGGTAAAATCATCTCTCTAATCCATTTTCTATGTAAAATAATGAAAAAAAAGACTTCTTGGAACTATTAGATATCTACTATCTCAACACAATAACTCTATTCCGGCGAAGAAATGCATATATTCAAGGATTATTGCTTCTACTTTTCCCAACTGACATCAGAAATGCGAATTTAAACAAAAATGTTTAAGTGATCTAAATTAAATTTAAATCCAACTATTTGAAAACAGTGTGATAGTAAGTTTTAGTGAAAAACAAATGTTTCATTCTAATCAACACAAGATGAATATCATTGCATTAGATTTCGAACTTCATTCATGAAAGAAAAGTACTTACTATACACTATTTAATTCAATAAAATGATTGCCAAAAGGATGGAGAGAATCGGACAAGAGTATAGAAAATTTGTAATAATTATTTGTAGTGAACATTTGGTGGGCCATGGACGAAATCGAGAAATAATGTCGAGGACGGGGGTGACATTTCAAAATTGTTTGTCACCGCATGTGATGCGCTTGTATATGTTGATACATGAATTGGTTGTGTCCTTTCAATTTGTACTACAAAATACACACACACATTGCATTCAGATTTATCCGATAGTAGCAGAAATGTTTCATAAAATGTATGTGTGGTCAACAAAACCCACAATAATACAATGTCCACTAACTGTAGTTATTATTAATATTATTGCTAGTTATCATTTATATTTCTCCAAACATTTTCTCCTATGTTACAATTTACTGGCCATGTATTTGGTAGAAATAAACAAAAAAAATATCACAAATAATTTCAATTAAACTTAAATTTAGATAGTTTTCTCATGGTGTTGAAAATATCAGTAATATCAGTTTTGGGTAATGATCAATTTTCGAAAATTTTACCATACAAAAAGTTATGGCATTTAATAGTAATTCCTACATCGGTGTTTTTTGAAATTTATATTTTCTTAAATTCCATCAACGTGGGAACAGTTATTGAAATGAAGTAAGACGGAACAATTATTTACATCTTACTTTGATAATTCGCTATCGTATTTAACTTATGTATTTCTTTTGATTTATAAGTAAGTTATGCTGTTGTTAAATTTGTAAATTTTTGGATATTACAATTGCTTCGTGTTCCATTCTTTCTTATATATTTGATATCAAAAAATAAGGAGGCCATCTTTGTGTCATCAGGTGGAAAAAGAGGTCAATGATGAAGAAAAAGGTCAAGGAGGACATTGAGATCTCTTCAAAATTACCGCAAAATACCGTAACAGTTTGTGAAATTTAAGAGATAATAGTAAATAATAAATATTAAGGAAATAAATATACAATATGTTAAATGTCTTTTTATTCAAATGTATCGTACGAAATTATTTACTTCCAAGCTACCGCATATTAACGGGAAGAAATCCAAACAAACAATGATTATTTGATGAGGAAGATAATATGGATTTTGCAGAGATTCGCACGATTAAAAAAGAGAAATAGTTCATCAGACTGTACTTTTAGTTAACTGCTCATGTCTTTTACTCTTATCTCTCATCAAAAACTAATAACAATACGCCAAATACTGACTGACCGGTTAGACATCCAGAGGCTAAGAATTTTAGCCATTACGGTAGCGATATTTTGATAGAAAGAAAAATTTTTTGCATATTTGAAGTTTTTATATTTTACAAAATTATGCTTTATATTAAGAAAAAAAATAAATATAATATTATATTTGACAAAAATATATTATTAAATATTATATAAAATTATTAGTACAAATTATGAATAACATTTGTTAAAAAATATTATAATAATATAAAAAATTTTATATTACCGATATATTATACAATTTAAAATATTGTGTATTATAAACATATTATATAATATTATTTATATAAGGAATGAATATTTATTTGTATTTGTATGTAGCATATAAAATTATCTCATTCAATTCATTACATTTGTAAAAATTTAGTAACCTTTCGGTAACCCATTCAATTCATTTCAAATTTAGCAATCCATTCAACTCATTTCAAATTTAGTAATCTATTCAATTATTTCAAATTTAGTAGTCTATTCAATTCATTTCAAATTTAGTAATCCATTCAATTCATTTCATCCATCAAAATTTAGTAACTTTAAAATGCGCTTTTTCTTATTTGCCAACAGATTTATTTATTAATCTTAGCAGCCAATGACCGAAAGAAAGAAAAAAACGACTAAAAACTGTTTGGAACAAAAATTGGTTGTAAATTTAAAAATTTGCCATTCGCTTATTTAAGCCTAAAGACTGTCAAATTTATTTATTTTTTCATGTCGTTTTTTCATTCATAATAATTTATTTGCTGACAGTACTGACAAACTTTTCTTTCAATAAAATTTTTGCTTACTTTTCCATTTTATAATTTGACTATGAAATAAGTTAATAACTTTTA